TTTTTTTATAAATTGGTCCAGTTAAAAATTTGATTATAAAAATTCAATCAACATTTGAAAGTCTCAAAACCCATATTACATCCTTTTAAAAATGGAAAGTGACGAAAAAATTATTTAAAAGTGTAGAACTATTAAAACCTTATTTTTATTAATGATTTAAAATACTAAAAAATTAAAAAAAGTTTACACTTCAAGCAAACTTCGACATAGTAAATGACTGATGTCAGTAGCATTGTTAAAGTGCTCTCCTCCTCGATTCTCATCAGAGCAAAGGAGGTTGGTAGGCAGCGCGCGAGCCATTTTTAACAGAAAAAAAGTGTTCTCAGTGAAAAAAAGATGTCTGATTCTGCAGTTGCAACGTCCGCTTCCCCAGTGGCTGCCCCACCAGCGACAGTTGAGAAGAAAGTGGTCCAAAAAAAGGCATCTGGATCTGCTGGCACAAAGGCAAAGAAAGCCTCTGCGACGCCGTCACATCCGCCAACTCAGCAAATGGTGGACGCTTCCATTAAAAATTTAAAGGAACGTGGCGGTTCATCACTTCTGGCAATCAAAAAATATATCACTGCCACTTATAAATGCGACGCCCAAAAGTTAGCGCCATTCATCAAGAAGTACTTAAAATCGGCCGTGGTCAATGGAAAGCTTATCCAAACTAAGGGAAAGGGTGCATCTGGATCTTTCAAACTGTCGGCCTCTGCCAAGAAGGAAAAGGATCCGAAGGCAAAGTCGAAGGTTTTGTCTGCTGAGAAAAAAGTTCAAAGCAAGAAGGTAGCCTCTAAGAAGATTGGTGTCTCCTCCAAAAAAACTGCCGTTGGGGCTGCTGACAAAAAGCCCAAAGCTAAGAAGGCTGTGGCTACCAAAAAGACTGCCGAAAATAAGAAAACTGAGAAGGCAAAAGCCAAGGATGCCAAGAAAACTGGAATCATAAAGTCGAAGCCCGCCGCAACAAAGGCGAAAGTGACTGCAGCGAAGCCAAAGGCTGTAGTAGCGAAAGCGTCAAAGGCAAAGCCAGCGGTGTCTGCAAAACCCAAAAAGACGGTGAAGAAAGCATCGGTTTCTGCTACCGCCAAGAAGCCGAAAGCGAAGACTACGGCTGCCAAAAAGTAAATTGTGAAAAAGTGCAGTATTTGGTACATGTTCGCAATTAAAATTTTAGATTTATGATTTATAGATCTGAAATTTGTTTAAACAAGTCCTTTTCAGGGCTACAACGTTCCGTTGCAAGAGAAAAAAACTTTTATTTTCTTCCACTTATTTATTAGCTGACGTTCGCAGCAACAATAAAACGTTTCATGTCATGAATTACATTGCATGTTGGTCGCATTCAGTTTTCGTTCCCGATTTTTTTGTATTTATTTGAACATTACCCAATTACCCATATTGCGGGTAAATAAGTTTTATTTGTAAATTCATATTCGATGATTGGTGGTTGAAAAATGCATTTCTTTGGTATAACACATTGTGGCCCTGAAAAGGGCCGTTTTGGATTATTGTCCGCATTCGCAGGAGAAAATTATTTAGAGCTGGTGTACTTGGTGACAGCCTTGGTTCCCTCACTGACAGCATGCTTGGCCAACTCTCCAGGCAAAAGCAGGCGAACAGCCGTTTGGATCTCCCGACTGGTGATGGTCGAGCGCTTGTTGTAGTGAGCTAGACGAGACGCTTCGGCAGCAATTCGCTCGAAAATATCATTTACAAAGCTGTTCATTATGCTCATCGCCTTCGACGAAATTCCGGTGTCAGGATGGACCTGCTTGAGAACCTTGTAAATGTAGATGGCATAGCTCTCCTTCCTTTTGCGCTTCTTTTTCTTGTCGGTCTTGGTGATGTTCTTCTGAGCCTTGCCAGCCTTCTTGGCTGCCTTTCCACTAGTTTTCGGAGGCATTGTTCACGTTACTTATATTTTCACAAACACAATTCACTTATCGTAATGTGGGCCCGAACGCGTTCACGTTTATACTTTTTTTCGAGCAGTCAATTCAGGTCTAAGTCACCCACCCCTAACTGAATGCGCAGGCAAACGGAAAAGTATAAATATTTCGCTGTCTGGGTTAGGCGAGCATTCGTGTTCCGTGTGTAAAGTGAACTAAGTGAAATAAACGCAAAGCAAAATGTCTGGACGTGGAAAAGGTGGCAAAGTGAAGGGAAAGGCAAAGTCCCGCTCAAACCGTGCCGGTCTTCAATTCCCTGTGGGCCGTATTCACCGTTTGCTCCGGAAGGGAAACTACGCAGAGCGTGTTGGTGCAGGCGCTCCAGTTTACCTAGCTGCCGTAATGGAATATCTGGCCGCTGAGGTTCTCGAGTTGGCTGGCAATGCTGCTCGTGACAACAAGAAGACTAGAATTATTCCGCGTCATCTGCAACTGGCCATCCGCAACGACGAGGAGTTAAACAAGCTGCTCTCCGGCGTCACAATTGCACAAGGTGGCGTGTTGCCTAATATACAGGCTGTTCTGTTGCCCAAGAAGACCGAGAAGAAGGCCTAAACGTTTCAAAGGCTAAGCTAAAAACCTACATGTACATAAAATCGTCAATCAAACCGTCCTTTTCAGGACGACCAAATTATTACCAAAGAATTGAAAAATTTTTTAGCTTGGCAATTTGTTGTAATTAGTAAATCATAAAGAATTATTAACGTAAAGATGGTAATGTAGTAAGGGTTTTCTACTATATGCGGTATAAACTATAATTTGCTTCTTTAAACAATCGCACACCACGATGTGATGCTGTACATGCGGTGTCTGAAACCATTTGTACAGTCTGTACAAATCCATGTTAGAAATACACATTCTATTTGAAAGAGTACGAACGACAGACATTTATTTTTAGTTTAACATATTTTTTGGGAGTCCCGACCAATAAAATTAAATACTTTTTGAAAATCTTCCTCCTTTTAAAAACTGAATGGTGGTCCTGAAAAGGACCGATTGCTTAATAGGGGTACACAGGATGTACACTTTTTAACCGCCAAATCCGTAGAGGGTGCGGCCTTGCCTCTTCAGAGCGTACACAACATCCATGGCTGTAACTGTCTTCCTCTTGGCGTGTTCCGTGTAGGTCACGGCATCACGAATTACGTTCTCCAAGAAAACCTTCAGAACGCCACGCGTTTCCTCGTATATGAGTCCAGATATGCGCTTCACACCGCCTCGACGGGCCAAACGGCGGATAGCAGGCTTCGTGATACCTTGGATGTTATCACGCAGCACTTTGCGATGACGCTTGGCGCCACCCTTTCCCAAGCCTTTGCCTCCTTTACCACGACCAGTCATTTTTCACTGTTCTATACTATTATACACGCACAGCACGAAAGTCACTAAAGAACTAATTTCAACGTTTCTGTGTGCCCCTATTTATAGGTAAAACGACAAAAACCCGAGAGAGTACGAACGATATGTTCGTTCGCTTTTCGCTCGTCAAATGAAATGGCCTCTGTTTTTCTCTCTCTCTCTCTCTCTCTTTCACCGTCCACGATTGCTATATAAGTAGGTAGCAAATGCTCTGATCGTTTATTGTGTTTTCAAACGTGAAGTAGTGAACGTGAACTTTAGTGAAACCCAAATCGGAGATGGCTCGTACCAAGCAAACTGCTCGCAAATCGACTGGTGGAAAGGCGCCACGCAAACAACTGGCTACTAAGGCCGCTCGCAAGAGTGCTCCAGCCACCGGAGGTGTGAAGAAGCCCCACCGCTATCGCCCTGGAACCGTGGCCTTGCGTGAAATTCGTCGCTACCAAAAGAGCACCGAGCTTCTAATCCGCAAGCTGCCTTTCCAGCGTCTGGTGCGTGAAATCGCTCAGGACTTTAAGACGGACTTGCGATTCCAGAGCTCGGCGGTTATGGCTCTGCAGGAAGCTAGCGAAGCCTACCTGGTTGGTCTCTTCGAAGATACCAACTTGTGTGCCATTCATGCCAAGCGTGTCACCATAATGCCCAAAGACATCCAGTTAGCGCGACGCATTCGCGGCGAGCGTGCTTAAGCTGACACGGCATTAACTTGCAGATAAAGCGCTAGCGTACTCTATAATCGGTCCTTTTCAGGACCACAAACCAGATTCAATGAGATAAAATTTTCTGTTGCCGACTATTTATAACTTTAAAAAAAAAATAAGAACAAAATTCATATTCTATTATTTATGGCGCAAACGGTACTGGGTCTTAAATCATATGTAAAAATACTAATTCTGCCAGAGAAGGAATAAAAATAATCTTATTTTAATTGTCAGCTCAACATTTATTAAATTAAAGAAGAGGTTAATACAAAAATATATATTTTTATTTGTTCTTTGTGCGAACATCCTTTAAAGCAGTGAAAGTGTCGTGCGGGGAAAGGGACTCTGAACCTTAAACATCTAAAAAAAAATCTGAATTCTGTGTAAGACAGTTTGAAATTAATGAAATTACATTGATGACGGCAATATTTATAAAATAACAGAAAATAATAAAATAAAACTAGCTATTTTATATTTTTTCCATGTGTTAACTGAAGAAAGTGTTATTATTGAAGAGGTCGTACGGGACAATTGACACTGTCCCTTCAAACGTCTGTAAAAAATAAAACCTATGTAAAATTCAGCACGGAAATTGGCTAATTTTGTTGCGGAATGTAATATATATTACATAATAAAGGATAATACAAAAATTGTTTCTTTTTATTTTTTATTTGATTTATTTATTTGACTACATAGACGGTAATGCATATGTGGCGAGGAAATCGATTGATTTCAGAACAAATTATTTTAAAATATGCATGGAAACACATTAATAACAAGCAAACACATTAATAATTTAAGAAAATATTATTTATTATATTAATATTATGTTATTTAAGAAAGTATCTGTATTTTTAACGATCGAAAATTATTTCTGAATGCTGCTTTAAAGCAAATTTTTCTGTAGTTCAATGTGAACTTAAATCAAGTAATAAAGTATCTTAATTAATAATAGACGCTTCTTTCAGAAGCCCTTCTAGGGGATGAACGTTTCAATTTTAATAAACATTACGAATTAGTGAAATATTTGCAATGATTCTTATTTTATTAGATGTTTTTTTTATAAATTGGTCCAGTTAAAAATTTGATTATAAAAATTCAATCAACATTTGAAAGTC